TGTATAATGCATCCTAGGGATAGTGGGGTTGATGAGGCTTGAGCACAAAGTTTAGAAAGTAGAGGATTAAAATGGTGTCACCAAGAAACAAATGGTACTGCAAAATGAGAAATTTAAAACTTATTAAATAGAAAATATCTGCTTTCTTTTTTTCATATACTCTTTCTTCTTTAATTTATTTATTTTTATGGGGTTTTCGGCTACTCTAACATTCCCCCTCTGAAGAGGTAACCCTAAAATCTTTTAAGGATTAGATAAAAGTTCCCAAATATTTTCGACATTTTTGGCCTTTGGAACGGATGACTTTACTCTTTGGTTAAATAAATAAATAAATAAATTTATTTTTACTCTTAAGGCCATTTGAGGATCTGTCCCTCAGGGGGTCACATGGACTTGGGAGGAGCTCCTGGCTCCTTTCTTTCACCAGTTCCATCTATGTGAAGATAAGCAAAGGTCCTGCTCAACCATGTCTGGCTTCACTTGGGAGCATGAATGAGATGTTTCCTCTAAGTTGACCCTCCTCTCTGTACACTGGACACTGGCTCAAGTCCATCTTGTGGGGTAGAAAATATCTGCTTTCATATATCTATGTTTAGCAGTTCCTTCAAGATTTATATCATCTTATAAATAGAATTATATTCATTATATAATTATACCATATATAAATGTAATTATAGAATTGATATACATATAATCTAACTGATTAAATTTGTTTTTAGGGAAGCTTTAAATTTGTAGAAAAATTGGCCAGCTGGTAGTGATGCCCCTAGCTACTTCCCCATCCCAAGCTTCCCATATAATTTATATTGCGTATTAACACGGTGTTTGTTGTAATTATCAAGTGATATTGATATAGTATTAAGTAAAGTCCATAGTTTACATTGAGTTTCACTCTTTGTACTGTATAGTGTTGTGACTTTTGGCAAATGCACAATAGCATGTATTTACAATTGATATATAACACAGAAGGGTTTCACTGTTTCTCTCTCTAGCCTACTCATTCCTTCCCCAGGACTCATTTTTAATTAAATTGAATAACTTATAGAAGAACCAATTAAATTTACATATGATCATATAAAATTTGAATATGTGCATCTATAATTATATATACACACCACCCAGTTCCTTCTGTTTTTTTAAAAAAAATATCTTCACTAAAATGAGGAGTACATGCAGGTTGAACCTTTCTGCCACTGAAAAAAAAAAGTAGAGGAAAAGTAGGTTGATGTCAGGATGCACATAACCTTAGGAGTTTTGTCCCGGTGAATTCTGGGAAACTATCATTATTTTTAAGTGGTGCAAAATCAAGTCCACGATTTAAAGTGTAAGCTAGTACCAGCAAAGATGGGTATTGGGACAGTTCAAAGATATTTCAACAATTCTTCTAAGCAGTAATAAGACTTCTAACTGATTCAATGGTACTGGGTGTTAAGAGAAAGACAAAAGAATTTTATAGTTAAAAAAAAGTGGTTAATAGGCTTGGTTTGCAAATATTTCTCAGATACTTTTGAAAAGGATTTAGGAATAGGTTGATAAGATTCTAGAAAATTTCTTAGTTTAAAGAGTAGCAAAGAAACATCTCATTATATTTCCAGGAAAAATAATCAATAGCAACAAGGATTTGTCAGTCTAGGGCAGTGGTCTTCAGTTTGTGCTTCCCTGAACTGTACCATAAGCATCATCTAGGAGCTTATCAAAAATGGAAACCTAGGAACTCTGCTTCCAATAACCAAAGTCAAGTATCTGGATATTTGAATGGGAGCTGCAATCTGAGATCTGTTGTCCTAGACACACAAAAGATATGGAAGTGTCAAAAGCAAGCGACTCATAGCAGAAGTTAAGAGCCCAGCTTTATTTCCGGAGTGGCATGTTTCAGAGTTGGCGATTGAACCCAGAGCCTTATGCATTGTACTTTACCATTGAGCTACATCACTGTCCAAGACCAAACTTTAGAGAAATCTAGGTTCAAATATTTTCTCTGCATCTGACTAGCTGTGACTTAAGTTGTGTGCTATGTAACAGTGTCAGTAAAAGACCTAAACTCTTAATTTCTTGTGACCTAAACGAGGGTAATATACTATTGTGGCAATTCAGCAAATGAATTCATTATAAAATATTCAGTTTACCATCAATTTTATTTAGCTCAGACTTTAGAAAACACAATAGCTACAGATGGAAAGTTTCACATTTGACACAAACATTTAGGTAATGATAATAGAATCCAGTGGCAGCAAGCAGAAACAGGCTGAACATGGACTTGAGTCTCTATGAGAGAAGAAGAATGGTATTGGAAGGTCACAGGCTATGGGCAAGAGCTGTCACTATGCAAGTGGTCAGCACAATACCAGAACACAGAAAGTGAGAAAAGGACACTAACATCAAACATGGGATGAAGGAGTAAAGACAGCAAAGGCCACTGGGAAGGAAAGCACTGGACACGGAAAGAATCAGGAGACACTGTCAACAGAATAATATGAGGTCAGAATCTCAAACATAGTTCAAAGAATGACAAGTAGACAGACAGATAGACAAATAAGGAACGGCATCACCCAAAGTAGTTACAAGCTGATTAGAAACTTCTGGAAGAGCATTCCTTCTTGTGTCATGGAAAAAAGTAAGAAAGTAAGAGACAAAAATTGACCTCGAGAAATTCATCTCTGATGGAAAGCAGAAAATAGACTAGCCAAATCATTGCCTATCAGAACACGGACAGTATCTCTCAGGAAGCAGGATGGCGGTAGAGTTGTGGGAGGAAAGAAGGAGCCGTTGATAGGGGAGAAGTCAAAAGCAGAGCAAGGAGGGAGCGAGCTGGGCAGACAAGGAACGGTGGCGGGCAGAACGTTCAACCTTGAAACTGAATCAAAGTACCTTCTGGTCATCAAAGAAGATGAGTGACTATACAGCTTGGAAGACTAAGAGGGTTGGGGAAGAGAGAATGCCACTAGTTTGCCTCCCTGAGGACACTGAGACAGTGCTGAGGAGGAGCACGATCGTGATAAGAGGAGGACTGAAGCTCTCACAACAACCAGCACAGGCCATGCGATTCAGAAACTCATCCTGAGCCCAAAGGATTCAGCTGCTAGATACATGAGCGCTTCAGTCAGACTGCCTTGGTTAGACTCTCCTCTGTATCACTTCCCGTATGTGAACTCCGGCAAGTCACTCAGCTTTTCTGCAGTGCAGTTTCATTGTCCATGAGATGGCCATAAATCTAATAGCACCTACTTTATTAAGGTTGTTGTGACAATTAAAGCAGTTAATTCAAGTAGAGAACTCAGAACAATGCCTGGCATTAATAAGACCTCATTAAATTTTATTCATATATTATTACAGTCTTGAGGCTAAGCTGAGGATCATAAGAGTTCATAAAGTTATAAAAATATAGCACATAACTGAGTTAAATTATCTTTGAAAGAGGATCAGTATAATCACAGTAGCATCATAAGTAATCTTAGCTACCAAACATACCTATGACAGACATCCTTTTTCTGATATTGTTGAAGTCCAAAAAGGCCAGCAACTGGTAAGTAACAAGTGTTCCCAATTCTTCTATCGTTATCGTCTCTGGGGTCCGAGACTTAAAAACAAACCCAAAATTTCCGGCAGCAGTAACTAGAGCTCCTTCATCGGGTGACTGAACCTGGTAAGTCAGCTGTCCTAGAAGGGGAAGAAACAAGCATATTCAACACTGAAGGTAATAACTAACATTGATAAGAGTTCCAGTGCCAATCCCAGCTCATTCTTTAATACCCAGCTCAAGCATCAACTCTAAACACTTTCCTATCCTTAGATAATTTCTACTCACCAACCACTAGAAACCCTGGGATACCCCAAGGCTCCTTGGACACACCCTGCAGCCCTGTCCATCTCACAGGAAAGCATCTAATTGTGAGTCCACCTGTCCACTGCACTGCAAGTTCCTTATGTCAGACATTATCTTTTGCACTTTCAGTTACTAGAGACTGAAAAAGTAAAATGTTTTAATATGTTAACCATATGATCTTCAGTGCAATCTTAAAAGTAATAGGCATCTAAATTATGATTTCTATTTTATACTGATGGGGCCACACTGAAAAGAGGCAATGAGATCTTTAGAAAGCTCAAACAACAAAGTAAGGAAGCAGCTGGTCTGGCCTGTACTTTGGTGTGAGAATGCATACAAGAAATCCATCAAAATATAAAGAATCAAACTAGGATGAGAATACTTGTTTCTTGATATGGTGTATGTTGAATTGTGGCTGAGAGTAGAGAAGAGAGAAAGAGAAAGAAATAAACACAAAGACTAAAGATACTTTAAAACAGTATTATAAAGTAAGCCCATTTACATACATAAATGTGCACTGTATTTGTAAAAATAAATTATAAAAGTAGGCAGGTAAGCAGGATACCAGGCATGGTGGCTCATGCCATTAATCCCAGGACTCAGGAGGCATAGGAAGGTGGATCTCTGTGAGATCAAGGACAGCCTGTTCTATGTACTGAGTTCTAGGCCAGGCTAGAACTGGAGAGACCCTGTCAAAAAAGGAAGTAGGCAGGGATTGATCCATATTTACGGTTTGTAGTGTCCAAGATTAGTTGTTAAGAAAGCAAGTTGCATATTAATGGGTAGACTATGATTCCTTGTTTTAAAAAAAGAAACCCCACTCATCTGCACATATTCTTGATCATACACTTATAAGTAAGTGGATGTGTGGGGGTGCAGGGGAGAGAAGTGTGCAATAACACATACCAAATATTACGACTAGTTACTTCTGTGGGGTTGGATGAGAGGGGTTTAGTTTAAAAATGATCAGAATTGCCTTTATAAATCTTTGTATTGCATCATTTCACTTGATACAATAGGCATGAATTAATTTTTAATTCAAAAAACTTAAAAAAAAAGGTAAATAGGGGATCTAGTAACTTCCAGTTCTGGCAAGAGAATAGGCTGGGTGCCAGAACCAACCTACAACTACACTACAAAAGTACTTTAATATTCTCAAGGACATCCATTAACTTTCAAGAAAACAAGGTTCATTCATGGTCTGAGACTAAATCCTAGAAGCAGAAGGAAAAGGAAACCAAGGAGGGGATGAGAGGTGAGGATTGCTAGACAGGATCTAAAATCCCCTGGAGACAGACTACTGGGTGCGTCTTTAAGGTAGTTTCCAGATTGGGTTAATTGGGGTAGGAAGACCCACACTAAATGTGGGCTGGGGTCCCAAACTGAAAGAAAGAAGAAAGTGAGCCAAGCACCAGAAGTCAGCGCTGCTTCCTGACTGTGGATGAGATGCGACCAGCTGCCTCACGCACCTCTCAGCATCCTTTCTGTTGTTTTTTGTCAGGTGTTTTGTCACAGCAACAAGAAAAACTCATACAGAGGGTAACAGAGAGAGTGAATATCATCAAAGTATATTATATGAGTAAATGAAACACCTATTACTTCATGCAATCAGTATGTATTAGTAATCCTTCTTAAACTAACACTGAAAAATCTACATGCAGCTTTTTCCTTAAGGGCATTTTCTGAACCAAAAGAAGCTGATAGTTGGGTTCCCACTCTCGTAAGGCATGAATTAAAAAAGGCATACCTTTTAAGGCCTGTCCAAGGTAAGGAGTCGAATCGAGACCGCCTCTTAAAACTAAGCCCTCTAACTGCCCCCCCCCAACTTCCAGCATGCCCCATTCTCCACTGGATTGCCCTATATCTATGCCCATATGGGCAGTACTAACTGGGCTCAGTGATAAAAAGACGTGGGGCTGGAGAGATGGTTCAGCAGTTAAGAGCACTGACTGCTCTTGCAGAGGACCCATGTTCCATTCCTAGCACCCACATGGCAGCTAACAAACATCAGTTAACTCCAGTTCCAGAGGATCCAACACCCTCCTCTGACTTCCATAGGCATTGCATGACATGGGAACAATTACATACATGCAGGCAATACACTCATACATACATACATACATACATACATACATACATACATAAATAAATAAATAAATGTAAATAAGTAAATATATAAATAAATAAAATACTTTTAAAAAGAAAAATAAAAACTAAGCCCTCTAAAGACTACTGTCTTGATCTAAGGGTGAAAAGGAAATTTAGATTCCTTGTAAGAGGGCCTATAATGAGCATTGCCTGTCTAGTCCCCTGATCATAAGCAGAATGGGAAAACACCTCTACATAGAACTTATGACCAAAGGCTAACTCAAGTGTATTTATATCCTGAATTCACAGTATCTTGGTAGCCTTAAAAACTCAGCTTGAAAATTCAGAATAAGATATTCCTGCATTAGAACAGTTATTGAATAAGATATTCCTGCATTAGAACAGTTATTGAATAAGATATTCCTGCATTAGAACAGATATTGAATAAGTTATTGCTGCATTAGAGCAGTTATTGAATAAGATATTCCTACACTGAATGTTTATTGAAGTAAATGAAAGAACCAACAGGATCCGAGAAATTCCTACAAATGAAACCTAAGGAAAAATGTCAACTCAGTGAAAAAGAATTTAAACAATAAGACAAAATTCCAGGTCCTTTTAATAAGATGATGCTTTACAGCAGTCCCTTCTGCATGAAATAACTACCATCATCACGACTTCAGCTGAGCCTGATCGCTAAACATCATCATAACTGGGCTTGTTCATGGTTGTGCTCATTCATTAAAGGAGGACCAAGCAGGGTCACTGGACCCTCACCAGATTATCCAACCACTCTTCCCAGCCAACTGTATGTAATTTGGCCCTGATCACAAATGGCCTCCTGGATTTGGGGAGGGCTAAAGTATACAATCTGGGGAAGGCTAGGAAGAGAAGGCATGACCCATGCTGGGTAAAGGCTTTCCAGTGTGCATACCCTCAGGTCATACATACACTTCAGCAACCCCTCTGTTATCTCGGTAAGTAAGCGCAATAAATTCATTGGTTCCCCAGTAAAACTTTAATCAAACATTGGCTTGACACTAGAACCTTAAAAGGGAATAAGCATTGCTTAGTATACCCAGGAAAAGAAGTCTCAAAACAGATAGAAAATGTATTTGTCAATGCCATTATGTCTCATAATTATTAAAAAAAAAAAGAAAAGAAAAAAAAATGAGAATTTAAAAGACTTTAAAGGGATATGGGCATGGAGATATTTTCCAAAATAGAAAAAATAAAAAGCCTAAACAAGTGATGAAGGTCTGTATAGTTTGTTATGATATATAAAGGATGAGACAAAAATAATACATACAAAATCTTAAAATTTCTATGGTAATAGTTTAGTCAACTAGTTTAAGGAACAAAATATATATCTAGTCAAAGTTTATCTGAGAATATTTGGTTTTTCACCCAAGCCTATCTGTATAGCACATGATAATTAAAAGTACCAGACTGGTGGAACTAACCTTATTGGATGTTTAACGGCCATAGTTTGAGGCCTATACTAATGTGGTCAGAGGGACTTAAAGGACAGTTTTTATCCCTTGCACTCTATGGTCGACTAAGTTCCAGGGGACTATGGAACATCTCTCAAAATGTCCTGTAACTGTGGTGAATCCCCTGTCCTCTTGTTCAGGGAGGACATGGAGACCCCACAAGATGGACTTGAACCAGTGTCCAGTCTACAAAGAGGAAGGTCAACTTAGAGGAAACATCTCTTCATGCTTCCAAGTGAAGCCATGGTCGAGCAGGACCTTTGACTTATCTTCAC